GATTATGAGGCTCCCACATGACGAGGAAACAGCCTTTCTTCTCATTGTCAGATGAGCTCTGAGGGCTTTTTGGCAACTGTGAATTGTGACTTCTCAGAGGAACTCATACATTTGAAGTGTGACGTATTTAATCTCAATTACATCATCATTTTTCATGTAATATTTTTTTCATTTCAGCTGCCAATGGGAACATTGTGGTGCCCAAACTTACAACTTCCAGAAAAAGCTTCCAGACAGAAGCTGAAAGGCCATCATCAGCTGAGAGGCTTTGACGATATTAGTAGCTGGCTGAATTGCAGTTGACAAAAACCAGGACAGGCTCTGCCTCTTGTTATTTATATTAATCATGATCTGCACCTTGGTGTCCTTGCCAGGATTAGTGACAGCGGGTAGACTGATTTCATCCCCTCAGTCAGAGCCTGGAGGCTGAAGATGCAGCGTATTGCTACTGTCAACTACATAGGAGCTTGCCTGTCACAGTGTGAGAGCCACGGACAGTGAGAGGACACTGGTCCACTCCTTTCTCTTGTCAAAATGACTGATGTCTAAGTGGGAAATCTAATGAACCCCTCAGAAAGGACCTTTGGATACTACTTTGTCCCATGATGAAAGACAGGATCCAAAACCATACACATTTGATGGGAATTTGGGCTCATCCACTTAACATCTGTGTGGCTTTCAGGACATTACTAAAACTTTCTTTGCTTGATTTTCCCATGTGTAATAATAAAAAATAAAGGAATATCTACACCATAGGGTATTATAAGAGTTGAATACTTTGAGTGTTTATAAATAGTAACCATTCGATAACATGTTATCATTATCATTTTGCTCCAACCTGTAATTTTATACATAATATTTCTCAGCCTATTTTTAAATTTGAATCATTTCATAATTCAAAAATTGCTTTACAACTTTTTTCTGTAAAATGGTGAAATGGCTTATTTGGAACCAACCTGTTAGGAACAACTACAAAAAGTTGAACAAAAATCGAAAACATGTTTAAACGCATTACAGCAGCACCATGTCTTAGAGTCTGATTATTTTTGATGTTTTATCCTTGACATCCTCCAAGCCCCTCTTCCTCCTTTTTTCCCTGCCAACATCTCTGTAAGTGCTGGTAAGAAACTCTCCACAACCCTCCAGCCCACAAGGAGAACATTCCCTCAGTCTCTCCGCCTACCAACTCTAAGAGCCTAAACTCTGCCTCTTCAATCAGGATTGCACCAGCTCGTGCCCATCCCACACAGGTATTTTTTGTGGGAACAATAAACACTCTCTCAAGTTTTCTTGGCCTCAGCTTAATAATTATTAATTAGGAAACAGGCCCATCTACCTCCACAATAGGGCATTACACATACCAACGCAGCCGGTCTTCAAGGAGACAAGAAAAGCAGGGAAACCTAGACAGGTGAGCACCAGTTTTGTGTCATCAGTGTCCCTTGAAACATAAGCAGGCTCAGAAATAGAGGCCCAAGGTTGAGAATCTGAAAGAAAGGAGGGGCTGAGAGGCCTCAGAGCCCCGAAGAGCTGCTTTTTCTTTCTTTTCTTTTTTTTTTTCCCTGAGACCGAGGCTCGCTCTGTTGCCCAGGCTGGAGTGCAGTGGCACGATCTCAGCTCACTGCAACTTCCTCTCCTGGGTTCAAGCAATTCTCCTGCCTTAGCCTCCTGAGGAGCTGGGACTGCAGGCACACATCACCATGTCCAGCTAATTTTGTATTTTGGTAGGTTTCACCATGTTGGTCAGGATGGTCTCGATCTCCTGACCTTGTGATCTACCCGTCTCGATCTCCCAAAGTGCTGGGATTACTGGCATGAGCCACCGCACCCAACCAGAGCTTTCAAAAATATCCTGTGGCAACAAGTGAAAAATTATCCCTAACGACTGCAGAAAAAGAGGGATCCTGACACACACTGAGGTCTTGAGGTGAAATCTTGCTAGAGAAACATACCAGGAGGAGGATGACCAGGAGTAGCAAGGCTCCATCACGCTGACACCCAGGCCCAAAGTAGTGCAAACTTTGATGGCATTAAGTTGATACAGCCCTCGCATTTCATTCTGGAAAAATAAGAAGTAAATCCTCTCCTGAGTGTGAAAATCATTCCAGAGACTAAAATTGTTTCTAAAGTATCAGTTTAAATCGACATCAAGTATCAGTTTAAATCTAAATAGATATTAAGTGTATTAAACATAGTATGATTTCAATCAACAATACTTAAACATACAAAATGAAGAGGAAAAAAACAGGCAACAGAAAGGGGCCAAAAGAATTTGCAGATATTGGGCCAATAGTATAGTATATGCTGAATGCATTCAATGACAAGTTCAAGAATTTTAGCAGAGAATCAGAAACTATAAAAAGAAATCAAATAGAAATTTCAAATATCAAGTATTTCAAATCAAGAACTCAACAGATAAATGTAACTGTAAATTTGACAGTTAAATTTGCCCTCACAAATGATCTGGTGGAAGTTTGATTAGGCCATGTGGCAATCTGTAATAAATAAAAAGAATAAAATCTTTTCTAGACAAATATGGTAATGTGATTTAATTGTGAATTATTATCTTGCAAATTGTAAATTAATTGATCGTCAGGTGAAAGAAGCAACACTCCTTCCATTTTAGACCAAAACGTGTGAGAATTTCCTGACCAGAGAAAGAACAGAGAGGAGTGGGCAAGAGGAGGAAGCTGAGTGATGAGGTGGCAGCAGGGACCCTTGAATCCGCGGGAAGACCTAAATTCCGCAGGCTTCAGTGCCTTGTGTAGAACCAAAGGGCAAAGTCATTTACAAAACCTTGCTTCACCTATAATCCCAAAACTTTGGGAGACTGAGGCAGGAGAATAGCTTGAGCCCAGGTGGCAAAGGTTGCAGAGCTGAGATGGTGCCATTGCACCCCAGTCTGGGCAACAAGAGTGAAACTGTCTCAAAAAAAAAAAAAAAAATAGAAATAAATTTTTAAAAAGCATTGCTCTCCGTCTTCAGACACAGCTTCCTACACAGTTTTGAAAAAGAATTTGAATCATTTCGTAAATATTGGAATATAAATATTCCATAAATTCTAGAATGTACTCCATTTAGAGAAGACAGAAGAGGGGTTCTCCCTGCTCTACAATCATCTGGAGGGCGCTGTCCTGCTCTGAATTTGAGCTCTAGCCAGAGCTGAGAACATGAAGACCTTTCCCTGTGCAGCCATCAGCTGCGACCCCCAGCACTGCCGGGAAGCTGAGAGAGGCCAGAGGCACAGACATGGTGGAAACAGCCCACAGATGACGACTGGGAAACAAAACAGTGAAGCAAGAAATCAGCGACTGAACCGCTGTGGACCTCAAGTCTGATGACCTTACGGTCACTCCGTTGCTAACTAGAGAGCGTTGGGCAGGAACATATTGTGTGGCCTCCACAACACTTGGAAACCAGACATGAGGAAATCCCAATTCATAGGTATTAACATCTGAGAGCTACCTACCACTCGCTTATGTTTCCAGTCTTGGATAGTGCCTGAAAACCATTTGTGACTGTTTTAGGCATCATAAAAAAAAAAAAAAAAAGCTAGCAAGCAAACAAACAACAAAGCATGTTTGAGAATATGCAAACAAGACGTACATTATTCACTAGGAACAACAGTCAAGTACCAGGAAAAAACAGCAGGTGTCTTGCCACAGTTGACCACAAGAGGGGGCACGTGCACAACAGCGATCCTAGCCAGAGGGCTCTGGGATCCCGGACAGCAGTTGGCCCGGAGTCCAAGCTGGTTCTGGGTATTATTACTATTATTATTATTAATTATTATTATTATTACTACTACTTAATCATCCCAGTTCATAGCTTACAATTTTCATGCAATAATTATTTTACATCTCTTCGCACTGCCTCACGCCCCCCCCCACGCCCCGCCCGCGCCCTCCGGCCTCCAATTTAGAATTTTAAATGGTGCTAGACTCTTCCTCAAGATTGAGACTCTCTTTAATAGAGATGCTTTACAGATGCAAATTTTTTTTTCTCACAAAAGATAGCTTTGCAGGACCATTTCAGGATAGAGAAAAGAAACATACTTTAGGTTAAAATATTTTAATTTTCTTCCTTGTTGCGTCATGTTACACCAGAGTCAGGTTGGAAAGTAAGTCATGATATGTAGGGTTAAATAAAACCCATCTGATGAGAATTTAGTTTGTAGGGCATGACTCCCTAAACCCCTTAGATTGGAACTGGGCAAGGTAAAAAAAAAAAAAAAAAATCATAGCTTAGTCCTCATCTTCATAAACACAAAGAGAATTATTACTTGTAGACATTCAATAAATTATCTGCAATCAATTTAAGAAAAAAATCCTTCAGAATTACAGGAAATTATAGAGGACAATAATTTGAATCCATAAGCAGAAAAAAAGGCCTCAAAATAGTAAAGGAATGGGGAAAAAAAAAAAAAAACTAGACAAAATAAAAAAAATTTACTTCATTTTCTATGACATTCACTTCTAAGTACAAACAAACTATTGTGGTAGATGTCAGAAAGACAGTTACTTCGGTTAGGATGGGAAAGCAGTTATTGATTGGGAAGATGTATGAGAGAATTATTCAGAAATTTTGAAATATCCTATAGTTTCAGATGGATAGTGGTTTATCTCAATGAAAAAATAAAATAGCCAAACCTAGATTCCTCTAAGAAAGTTCTAGACAAGAAAAAAGAATGAAGCAATATTTATGGAAACTCAGCTTTATCAGAGACAAGCACAAAATGTGCCTGGAACAGTGCTAAAGAACTGTTGAAAAACAGGTGGGGAAAAGAAAGGAAATATTATAATATGTCCCTTCTCCTACTGAGGCAACACAGATTTTATCTTGGTTAGTTTTCCTTGAAACACGAAGGATATTTTATGTCTCTTTGCCCACAAGAGAGGTCCTCTTCCTCCTGTTGTCTCTCTTGGAATCACTGTACCCACCAGCGGATTTGCATATTGTCGCCTAGAAAAGATCCTCCTTGCGAGTCTGAGATAATGGCCCAGCATTGCCTTGACTGATCAGGACTCCTCAGTGCACCTTCTCACTATGAGGCTCCGTGCTCAGCTCCTGGGGCTGCTAATGCTCTGGGTCCCTGGTAAGGACAGAAGATGAGGGAAGAGAATGGGGAGGGGGGGTAAGCTCTGGGGGCCCCACTGCCTCTCATGTGTCTTCTGTTCTGCCCACGTGTTAGATGTACAGGTCTTGTCCTCTAGGACAGGGAATGTGAGGTTTAGATCTGTGAGAGTGAGGAGGATTCAAGAAGAAGCAAGTAAGTGCCTGTGCTCTGGTGAAGATTGTCACACAGAAAAAGGGAGATGTCGGTGACTTCTAGAATCCTCTTTGTGGCTTGCAAATCTTGTATTCTTTTTTCAAATGGAATATGTTTGGTGTACAAACACAAATAACAAACAATTATATAGCCTGAAATAAGCAACAAATGAAAATAACACGTGATATTTGTACATATCTTTGCACTTCTTTCTGTTTATTTTAGGATCCAGTGGGGACGTTGTGATGACCCAGACTCCACTCTCCCTGCCCGTCACCCCTGGAGAGCCAGCCTCCATCTCCTGCAGGTCTAGTCAGAGCCTCCTGCATAGTAATGGAAACACCTATTTGCATTGGTACCTGCAGAAGCCAGGCCAGTCTCCACAGCTTCTAATCTATAAAGTTTCCAACAGGGCCTCTGGGGTCCCAGACAGGTTCAGTGGCAGTGGGTCAGGGACAGATTTCACACTGAAAATCAGCCGTGTGGAGACGGAGGATGTTGGAGTTTATTACTGCATGCAAGGTACAAAAAATCCTCCCACAGTGCTACAGCCCTGAACACTAACCTCTCTGCTTGAAGTAGCCCAGCTGCTCACGCGCGTTGTTTGTCTGGGGAGGAGCACAGCAAGTTCTCTGAGTCTGTGCATGAGGAAAATGTTGGACAACTCAGAGGAATAGACTGGTCTCATGAATCCCTTTGTTACATCTCAGGTACTAATCATGTGTGAGCTGCAACAGCTTTGACATGACAAAAGCAGTAGGAGAGTGGGGGAGGTTCCCATGAAGCTGCTGCTGATTCATGATGCAACTGAATAAAAGCTCATTTGAATCCTCCTTTCTTCATTTGCCAATTGAAGTGAATCAGCATAAGTGCCAGGCAGTTGACATAAGTTTTTGGCAACACATGCTGAGTGCCTCATTTTTATATTTTTTATCTGTTTTTATATATTGTAATAGGATAATTATTTGGTAATATTTAAAAATCAGTATTTTCCACCTTCCAAGCTTTCTACTCTCCTTGCTTATGGCTTATCTCCCTATGTAATAAAGGCACTGTAGACAAGATTTTACACTAGTTGTAAAATGTAGCTCCCCATTTATACTGGAAGCTGGTTGGGGGCAATTAGCAAAAATCTTGGCTTTTGATTGCCTAAATAGACTTTTGTAAATTAATATCAGATACAAGATCTAAATGCTAAAACTCTTTGATTTGCCTTGATTACCTCTTATGATAGATCATAAAAGGAATTCTTGAAATTCCAAAAGTTGAGTTTTAAAAGTAAAAGCATACACTGGAACATGCAGGGCATGGAATTTACCCTATACACCGCTAGAAGAATAGAGGATGATAACCATTTTAAGACTTCGAGGGTACTTTAGGAATGGGAACATGCAAGGAATTATAGTAGACATGAGCTATTGTGTCTATCATATTGGGCAATCTTCCTGAATTTTAACTTACATTTGGTGAACTTCAGATGGCAGTGGGTGTTGCAGGTTGATGACATAAACCTAAAAACAAGTCCCAATGTATTTCTTGTGAAGAGTCACAGAGTTGAAGAGACCACTGCCTGGCTTCCTGGATTGAGCCTGTGCAACTGCGAGTTTCATGGGAAAGTGATGAGAAAAGGTGTTGAGGTTTGTAATCACCAAAGGTTTGGCGAAGTTCCTGTGCAAAGAGACTCAATCCCATTCAACTCAGCATGAAGAGATCTTCTATAACTCATTCTGCGCCTATAGCAGAGATGATATGGTCAGGTTTCTGGGTTTGTGTGGAATTCTGGTGATCCCTTTTTAGAACAAAGCCATTCCTAAATAATTCAAAAGATGGGCAGTAACTTGTTAAGAACATTCAAGTACAAGTTTTTGTGTAGATACATGTTTTCCTTTTTGTTGGGTCCACACGTAAGAGCTTCCTGGATCATATTGTAACTCTGTGTTTAACCACTTGAATTGCAGCCTGTTTTCCAAACCTGTGGCACCATTTTTCGTTTCCACCATCAGTGCGGAGATTCTATTTTATTGCCAATCTATGCAATGGAAAGAAAAAACCTCTGAGTGAGGAGGTATTTGGAAGAACTAGAATATATCTGGATGTAAGAAAATAAATCCAAGGTAGCTTTGAGATGCCCATTAAATACTTTCAAAATTTTTCCTAGTCTTGCCAAACCTGGGTCCATATTTTTACTACCCAGTGAATGGTACTCATGCCCAGTGGTGTTTGGGAATGGTCCCAGGAGGTGGAAAAGTTCCTTCAGACAAGGAAGAACTGGTTCAAGATACAAACTAAGGAGACCTAATCAGAATGAAAAATGGAGAGCTGAAGCATGTGAAATGAAAATTTCCTATAGAAAGGAGATAACATTTAAGCAAGAATGCCTTGTTCTTCAGGCAGTGTGTCTGTTCTTAGGCTCTTGTGCTCTGGACTAGTGCGTAACATAAAAGGACCAAGCACAGACATCTCTTCCTCTCACTGATGAACTTTTTGTGTCAGTTGTTGTAATTCCTCATATACAGTAGAATGATCTTGAGAGGTTTGATGTTTTATTTTTAAAAGTTAACAAATGACCATTGTGAGTGAATCCCAAGCAAGACAGAATGGGAAGAAACTGAAGAAACAAAACAGAAACATATATGTCATATTTATTTTTTGTTACACCTATATACATCTATAATTTGAAATTTCAAAGTCAAGGGAAATACTGGTTATTAAATCTTACCATATATTAAAGTTAGCATGATGGTAAAACATGTTATTGCCCTTGAATTATGATTCCTAGTTTTGCATGAGTAATATTGTCATTGTTATACTCGGATTACTACAATTAATTTACTATGTATTATATGCCTTATATTTGAGGAATTTTTCCTTTAGAATGACTGCATTTATTGGGGAGGGATAGCATGGGGAGATATGCCAGATATAGGTCATGGGGATGGAGGCAGCAAACCACATTGCCATGTATGTACCTATGCAACAATCCTATATGTTCTTCACATGTACCCCAGAACCTAAAGTGCAATAAAATATATATATTTTTTAAATTTTTTAAAAAAAGAATGACTGTATTTATCAACACATTTTTAACTTACTTGGATTAACTTTGAGGTTTTGTTGATTTCTATCCCCACCAACAGACTTTTACAATCACAAACCACAGCTTCCTCTTCTTGAACAACCCACTTTATTTCATCTCTTTATCAGCTGCAATAAATCTTTCAAGGGTTTCCACTTTCATAAATCCTTATACATATTATAATTTATTTGTTGTTTCAAATAGAAAATTTTCTTCATGTTTTATTTCCCTAGTTCAATATGAAATGCATGTAATTTACAATCACAAACATAATAGTACAATGATGTCAATTTTAATGTGCCATAAGTTTTGGTTGGTTGGTTCTGAATCAATAGTAACTAGATGCCAACTCATAAATACAGAAATAATTTGAAAGTAGAAAGTCTAATTGAATCTGGGTAAAGTATACATGGGAGTCTTATACTATTTTGGCAAATTTTCAGTGAAAGGAAATGAGTCTCAGATGTGGTTTTAAACTTGGACTTGGGACTTTTGAGTTAAAATTAGAATAAGGTAAGACTTTGGGCAGATATTGAGAAGGAATTATTGTATTTCAAGTGTGAAAAGGACATGAGATTTGAGAGAGTCCATATGTGGGATGATGTTGTTTGTAAATTTGTTTCTACCCAAATGTCATGCAGAATTGTAATCCCCAGTATCTGCCATGAGTTTTGGGTGATTGGTTCTGAATCAATAGTAACTAGATGCCAATTCATAAACATAGAAAGAATTTGAAAGTAGAAAGTCTAAATGAATCTGGGTAAAGTATACATGGGAGTTTCTAATCTAAAGTATAGATTTCTCATATATAGGTTTAGCACTCATGAGATGTTTAGAAGATGTTCTTGGTGCTGTTTTCATGAAAGTGAGTTCTCATGAGATCTGTTTGTTTAAAAGCGTATGACAATTTGTTCTCTCTCTTTTGCTCTTTCTCTGGCCATGTGGTGGGCCTGCTCCCCTTTAGCCTTCCATCATAACTGTAAGCTTCCTGAGACCCTCCCAGAAGCTGAACAGATGCCAGCACCATGCTTCCTACAAAGCCTGAAAAACTGTGAGCCAAGTAAAATTCTTCTGTTTATAAATCATCCAGTCTCAGATATTTCTTTATAGCACTACAAGAATGTCCTGATAGATTTGGTCTCTCTTTTTTTTTTATAAGGACACTAATGGAATCAGATCAGAACCTCAACCTTACGGCCTCATTTGACTGTAGTTACTTTCTTAGAGACCATCTCCAAATACACCCACATATGGAGTTAGGACTTCAAATTGTGAATTCTGAGGGAACACAAATATTAAGTTCATAAAAGCTTATTTTCTTTTCTTGACTCCTCAAATACTTGCTCTCTTGGCATATTTTACAGTCACCCATGGAGGCGATATGGCTCTTTTCTAATTAATAGATACTATGGTGAAGCTATTGACACTCCATGTACAAGAGAATTTGGAAGAAATATTGTAACTCACACAAGGGAATCTTGGGGAGAGCAAGATATGCACAAGCTGGAATAAGCTGGCTTAAGTTAGACAGAGGGCTGAGACTTTATAGTTGGACTGGAGATATGTTATCTTGCATTGCTGAGGATCTATGAGGTTTGACTGTCCTGCAGGCAGTTGCACAAATATGTGCACAAATAAAGTGGAAGGTGGGGATTGAAAGCTGCCAGTGATCAGACATCAAAAACGGAGTCAGAGTGTGTACTTCATAGTCCCTATTTGAAGGTACATGGTACCTTACAATATCAGCTTTTTATATTTTTTCCAGCTTTGTATATCTGTTTTTAGCAGTTCAGCATGAAATAAATTTATCTGCCATTTAACATAGTAGGAGTTTTTGGGGGAAATCATAATTTAGTAAATAATGTCAAAGAAACAGTATTTGGGGAAACATTGTATCTACATAATTAAGAGATGTAGCAAAATTACAATGATTGTTAGTAATTTTTTAGTGTTTAATACATTTGAAAATTATAAAAATTTTATAAATATTTAATCACTTAATTATTATAATAGTCTTATACTGTAGTTACTTCTTTATTTTCCTTTATTAAAGATGAAAAAAACAAGATAAAAATGTGTAATTCATTTGCCAAATTTACACAAATGTTAAGTGTAAGAGCCAAAACTCTAACCAACAGTATGTGGTTACAATCTCTGTGTTCTTTGATCACAGAAACTAGCATTTCAAAGTCTCTTTCACTGAGCTTTCTACCTGATTTCATCAAGTATGCACGAATGACTTGAACAAGATCACATCGTTGGATCGTTGCACTGCCTTTACTCAGTTTTGTCACACAAGAGAGGCAAGTTTTATGTTGTTGCCAATAGCAGTACGCTGCATCTTCAGTCTGCAGGATGCTGACTGTGGGAGTGAAATCTACCTCAGACTCATGGTCACTCAACCATGCAGGGACAGTAGGGTTCTGGATGGTGGCTTGCTCTCCTCAAGCTTTGTCCAGAGCTTGAAAATTGACAACTCATGAACACAAAGAAGGGAAAAACACTCACTGGGTCTTCCTGAGGGTGGAGGATGGGAGAAAAGAAAGGAGCAGAAAAAATATCTATTGGTTACTGGGATTAATACCTGGA